CCCAATGATCACCAGAATCACTTAGTTGCATAGGTGGGAGTTTCTGTCTGTGACACTGACTGAACGATCATGGCTTTAGTAAATTTATGGAAACTAAGAAGCAGCTCTTTTACAAACTTGCACTATTTATTCTACTTTTTGGAAAGCCCGTAATAATCATTTCACGACAAATCAGAATATCCATTTGTTTTTAAAAGTAACTTATTTATTCTCCTGGTGATTTAACAGGCAACACATACTTGCATAAATTTATTTAGATTATATAAATAAGCGATGTATAATATAACTATATAATCTATTTTACATAAATTAAAAGTGACTTTGAGAACCTAATTGCATCTAATGAACAGAGATTCAACAATATTTTAAACCAAATTAATGTTTTACATATTTAATTCGACGCAATGCATAACTTCTGAATGAAATAAAAATTATCTAGGCTTGGTAAATATTCATTACTTATCATTTCCTCAGATTCAGTAGAGGTTTCAGTCAACGCTCCATCATTGGTTTTGTACAAGTATTCGCCTATGATTCGTCTTCAAACCACTCCACAATTTTAAAATAAAAAACACATTGTTCACTTATTTGTCTATGAGGTGAGTGCTTTAGCGAATATTACTGTTACAATCTCGAGCCTTAAAGCTGTGCACTGAGCATTACTCAAGAACGTGGGTTGTTTACAGGATTTTCATCATGAGCTGACATTGGTTAGAGAACTATTGGAAAACCTGGGAGTACTGGACAGCTGTTTCGTCCTAGTTTGGGACTCTTCAGCAGTACGCACCCACCGACAGAGTTCGAACCCAGGACCTTCTGGTTACAAGGCGAGCTCGCAGACCATTCAGCCACTGGGACCCGATCCAATGGCCAGCCCATGAATTCTAACTTCTGCCAATTCACGACATAGCGCGAACCCTAGCCAATGTCTTCGGCGAGTATTTGTCCTCACACCCGACCTGTTGCACCCTACTGGTCACGACTTCTCACTAGAACCCCAGGTAACTACCTACCTGAATAGGGCAAGTCGCTAGTGAGGATCTCATTAATTTTTCAAGTGTTGGTTTGTAGGGATTTGATTGGGTGGGTTGTTGTTGTTGCTCATTTACATCAACAAACATTTCTCCTTTTCAAATAAACTTAGTCTCAACCCTGGGTAGCTGATCTACTTATTTAAGCTAAATTTTAACGATTCATCTAGGTGAGATGAGTCAATAACGATGAAGCCCATCTTAATCGTACCAGTGATTATGTGATCGTGATCCGTCTTGCAACCACATCTTAACGTCTATCATTTAAACACGTTGAAGTAGTACGTATTGGTTAACTTTTATAGCTGCAGGTATAAACAGAGTCCAACACCACTTATATTCCAATTAGTTTTATGTAGGAGGATCAATCACAGTTAAGCACGATATACTATATATATATATATATATATATATATGTATGCAAGTGCTTGACCTTAAGTTTACCACGACCTCAAATTATATAAGTTTGCATAAACAATGCAAAGTTAACTTTATCACCCAGACTCTTAATTGTGTTAGTTAGTCTTTTAACTGTCAGGTCATTTCTTTGCAAAATAAAAGGGCTAAACCTTTTTTATCTTCTACTAAGTTATTCGATTATTATTCAACTTTATTTTGCGAATTATACAAAAAATTGCATACAAGTATGTGTAAGACTTTCCTTAAATGCCTCGAGAAATAAGATAAGAAAAAGACACTGTTGCACACATTTGTAGGATATTTCCGTTAGGTGAGGACAAATGTTGAAAGTCGTATTTCAAAGTAATAAGCTTTGACTTATAATAATGAGTGAAATTAAAACATTCACCCAAAAATTCTCATATTTAGTGTAATATTCATTCTAATTATCAGACCTTAATGGGAGGAGAAATATAAAGTATATTAGGACAAGTTACAATGAATATTGATGTTTTTACGAGTTTGACCACAGGTTGATATCAGTTAGAGAACCATTGAAAACCAGGGAGTACTGAACAGCTGTTTCATCCTAGTTTGGGAATCGTCGGGTCCCAGTGGCTGAATGGTATACGAGCTTGCCTTGTGGCCGGAAGGAAGGTCCTGGGTTCGAAATCCAGTGGGTGCGTACTGCCAATGATTCTCAAACTATGATGAAACCGCTGTCCAGTACTTCCTCGTTTTCAATGTTTCTCTAACTGATATCAATCCGTGGTCAAACTCGTAAAAACAAATCTAATCCTTACAAACCAACTCCTGAGAATATTGATGTATTTGAATAAAGCAAGAACGACGAATGTACAAGGATAATCTGACCTCATTTAAAAAAAATTATTTCATGGATTCTTCTCAACTGGTTACAACCTGAACAATACCAAAATTGTGAATTAAATTAAAGATCTGAACATACTTCTTTACAATGATAAGGAGTAATTGATTGGAACTAAGATTAACATTGGTCAGGAATGATGTAAATTGTTAAATAATTAACAGCGAAAAGGAACGACTATTTCTAGAAGCATTGCATGATTAATCTTGGAAACAAAAGGACAGAGTTCAACAGATGTTTTGTGGGTAGAAACAAAGTTTAACTAGAAGGAGTATAAAAAGTAATGAGTTACGTAACCACGGAAAAACACATTTTATACAACAGACAAAAAAGGGGGTAGGGTGAGTCATGTTTAGACGGAAAAATCAAGGTTTCTAAACAGGACAGAAGATGAAGTGGTGAAATTTGTATGCTTTGTTATCACCAATGCAGTGCAAGATTCATCACTGTCTCTTTCTGCGTACATGGATTTGGTTTTAGCCGTTTGATGGCTTGCCTCAGCGAAACGAAGCAGGCTAGGTTTCTTTTGTCTGCTGATTATTTTGAACGCCTTCAGGTTGTCCACATCATGGCCAGTGTCTAGCAGATGGCATTCAATCGCGCTGTTTAATGCTGCTGGGCCCTTTAGTATCAGGTTGTTTGGTATGTGTTCAGCTATGCGGACAATAACTCTTCTCTCTCTTCTTCCAATATATGTACTTTGGCACGTATATGTAAGTTGGTTAACGCATTTGGAGGTGACGAAACAATAAAATTTACATTCATTCAACTGTTTGCAGATAATACTTGCCATTATGTGTGAAAAGTGCTCGTTTCTCCATGCCATATCACTTGTTAGGTTATCTTAAACGTTCCGACCCTCTATTTTGCCTTTCAGCTACAGTGGCACTTTCGGATGACGTCAAGTCATATGATTCTTATATCTGTTGTGAGTAGTACACACTACAAAAATAGTACCGAATGTCATGCTACTTTTTGTCAGAAAGATGTCATATTGTTATTTAAATTGCAATAGAAACACGTGACTGGTGAATGATAATAATCAGGTGATGAACTGAGAAAACTCGTCTCCTCTCAGTTCATGAGAATAAACTCATTCTATTCTAATCATTTCAGAAATCTACGTAGAAGTTCCGTATGTTCCTCAAAACTTGATCGATATTACTGTATTATTTAAAACTGACGCCAAAACCCTTGTAGTTTTGAAAATGTGGTTGAGAAAACGAGGAAGCGGGTGATTAATGTCCCTTCTGGCTAAATTTATAGTTTTATATATAGTTTATTCAGAACTATTCAAATTAATTTCATACAAATGATGTAGAAAACATAATTTTTCACTTTCCATCTGTTTTATTTCAAATCTGATATGAAAATAAACCGAAGTAATAAAAAGTACTCAAGCAGCATGTTACGGTTATCAGTCAGGATTATATATCAGAGTACATATTTACTTGAGGATAAAGTTGGGTGTACTGGCCACAAATTTAGTAATATAATCCACAGGTCCACCCGTCTTATATTTCGACGATTCTTTTCCGCTTTAAAAAATTTGACAATCTGGTTGTTGGTTCTTCTTTGGAAAGAGGATATGAATTTCCAAAAGATGCGACCAATACTTATGGTCGCCATCAGACAGCTACACGGAGATATTACATGATATGTCAGTGAAACACGTGTGTATTTGATGTCTCCCGCGTAAACGATTTTATTTTCCGGAAATTTTACAGTTGAGATTAACAAAATTTTGTTTCGAACAGGGAATAAACACAATGTTCTAGTGGGAAAGAATTTCATTTTGAAGGTATAGCGAAAAAAACTATATTAAATCATATTTCCACTCTGCACACATTACATAAGTGATCTCGTCGGACCCTAGTACGAATGCTTTGGCTCAGGTTATACTGTAGTAGAAGCCGACATGTCAGCAGAGATAGAACGTTTCAGTTCAATATAATCAATCAACGGGAAATGCAAAATTAAGTTAAACAAATGATAACTGGTACTCGATGTACAACAGGTGGCTATCATGGTCCAAGTGGCCTAGTGGATAGTGCTTTGGCACTTTAAATGGTAGGTGCAGGGTTCGAGCCTCACCAGAAATGACATCTCTCACTCAGCTTGTGAGTCCCAAATAGGATGCAATGCGCATCTTGGATACCATAGCTACTCGCCATCTATCAATTTACAATATGTTTGTTATACTATTTTACAAAGGTTGAGTGAAGTTCTTTATACGTATTTAAAATGATGATTAGTGTACAGGTCTACTGTGTACTTATATTATATTCTCAAACTAACTGTTGAATTTGATCAGCTTCAATTGAACGAATTAACTGAATGCTTCCATCACACCTTCATTTCTTTAGACTGTTGTTGCTTCCAATACTGTTTAACACTTATTGTCTATTCGGCATATTTTTGTTTCTGAAATTGTGGGAACAGATGTTATTGATTTTTTGTGTTTATTTAAAACGAGAAACTTTTAAGTACTGCCTGCATTTAGCAGTTTATTCTTTTAGCAGTTGTTTAGTTTTAAAGCTGGTATTCATTTGCATGACGAAAGACATTTTATTCCTAATAATGTGCTCCGTTTTGTTTTTTTGTCATTATTATTTTGTGTTTTAATGTCTTACACATTAAATATACTTTCACAGTGTTTCTTCTCTCATGAAATTTATTTACAGATCGCATGGGTTATACAGGTTCACGTCGTCAGAGTGGTAAGTGGTTCTACTTTTCTATAAATTAATCATACTATGTGCAAACCTTTTGACAGATACATAATGAAATTTTCGATCCTTTGATTTGAATAAGTACTTAAACACATTTCTCCCCATTTAGGACTTGTCAGCTAGATGTGCATGCCTTCCTAATGAGTGCTATTGCACTCGCTGAGACTCGAACCCAACACCCACTGTTTAAAACACCAACTAACCTAAAAAACAAGAATAATAACTGAGACATATTGCACAAGAGGTGGCTCTTGAGGCCTTGTAGATAACTCTTTAGAGTTTAGAAGGATGGGCGCAAGGTTCGAGTCTCAATCGGTATAACATCACTCACTGGGAATGAAGGTGCATCCAGCTAATGAGCCCTGAATGGGATTAAGTGATCGTCCTGTATTCCACTGCTAGTCACTATCAGCTAAAACAGCGTCGTGTTAGTCTCAAGACATCATCAAAGCATCCATACTAGAAGGCGATATGCTGACAGAGACAAGCATTTCGGTCCGAAGAAATCAGTCAAGGGGAAATGCAAACCGACCTAAAAGCAGAATAGCTAAACACACATTTGAAAAAAAACCAAGAATTTATTTCATTATTACTTTGTATGATAAAACTCATATTTTTGCAATGACAGAAATAGTTTAGAATGAAGTAATTATTAGTATTCATTCAATAGTTTCGAAGGTAAAAGACCAGAATGAATCGTAATATTTCTTTTCATGATTCAATGAAATAGTTCAGACAACAGCAGATGAAAATAGCTTGATATGCACAGTATAATGCCAGTAAACTAAGATCATTAATGCAGTTTGTTCTGTGAAGTGTTTTGAAGTTAAAAACCTTCTACTGTTTTAATTAGTCACTTTTTAGTGAAGTTAATTTCATATAACACCCATAAACAAAACTATCAGGTGTCCTCTCAACTCCAACCAACAGTCTAACCAAAAAATTAAAGATTACTGATCAGTTAATTAGACAAAAATTGATTCGGATATCTTTATTTTCCTGGATTCAGGAATAGTTCCTTGCAAATGCTCGTGAAGAATGTGATAAACCTACTTACTCACAAATCAACACTAAAGCTGGTCTCCAGACTGACATCAGTGGTACTGTTCTGAAACACCTGCGGTGTAGTGCTTTTAACTTTTTTGTCTAAAAAGTCTCAGAATATGTTTAACATTGTATTATTATCATCAATCATCATTTCAACATCAAGTGTTATGGAAAAACGTTCATTCATACTAAGTGAATTATTTCTGTTGACCTACGTTATCACCGCCTTAACCAATACATATGACCTCAAAATTAATAGATAAAGTTCATGAAACTAAATTATACAATTTAATGAGTAGTGTTTGTTTTTCGTGAGTTTCAATGATAGTGTGAGGTTAAATAAATACGTCAAGTTATTGCTAAAGGGTAAGATAAACTATTGAGGCAAATTAACTTAACTAAGTCTAGTATGATGCATCTTAACAACAACAAAAAATAGGGATGTTGAAAAAGGGGCAATCTTATGAATCCATACAATGGTAACTGTGAAATAGTATGAAACAAAACACCAGTGACAGTAATATTTAGAGTGGAAAATGAGTTGGTAACGGAAGAATTATCTGTCGAATAAACAATAGAAGTAAGTTAGAACCTGTTTCATTTGTGATGAAGGTTTTTCTTTAAAAAAAGACAGAATAGACAAATCATTTTTAGCCGTGTGATGAAAGAAACTAATCATGAATTGTGTGTTACCGCATGGCATATCTGACAAATACGACAAAATATAGTGCATAGTGTTTTGTACATAAATAAGAATTTTTGTTTTCAAACTCTCATTACAGTTTAATCATTGACTTTCTTCTTTGTTGTTCTTATTTCAGTGTCAATTTATTTAAAAAATGATTCATTAAAAGCTTCCTGTATTTATTTCATCTCGCTAAATTATTCTTTGAAGGAGTTTTTTCTGTTATGAATGTTTCTTCTCCCAGTTTCCAGGACCTACATGTACATATGCCTATTTAAATTGTCGACTATTAGAGTTTGTGTTTGGCTGACGAAACCGTTACTTCAATGTCATCCACATTTCAGCGTTTTACACATGCACGAAATCAAATTATTATTGTTCCCTTGGGTGCCTAGTGGAACATGTGGCTTCGACAAGACATCTCCACTTTGGTCTATTCTCTGCTGTCCTCTTCAGCTAGGCCCACAATTGCCCATAATCTCTCATCTCCTCCTCGCCACACGATCTCCTCCATGTCACCCTCGCACCGACGACCAACTCGCCGTTTCCCACTAGGGTTCCACTCGAGTGATGGCCTGCATCGCACACGATGTCATTCGACTGTCTCCACAGCATATTCCCACTCCACCTCCATGTTCCTCTGCATATTTGTTGATCGATACATTCTTGGTTCATTTGTTCTCATATTTTCTTGTTACTAATTCTTTCTAGCCGGCCATTTGATCTTCAGTAGGGAGCCAGCGAAAGCAGTTGTTGATAAAATTCTGCAACCTGTTTGAAATCTTTTTCGTGACTCTCTGAGCAAGTTTCTGACCCATATAGGTGAACTGACTTGACAATGGGGTTAAGAATCTGAATCTTGTTCCTTATGCTGAGTGTAGATGATTTCCAGACTGGTTTCATATTGATGAAGGCGTATTTCGCCTTTCCAATTCTGACTTTGACATCTTCGTGTGGTCGCCTGTAGTTGAAACGATGTTTCCTAGATAAGTGAAGGAAGTAACCTCCGTTAAATCTCTCCCGTTGATGGTGGTTACTGCTGTTGGTTGTTGTTGGTGGTGGTGTTGGTGCGTGGTTATCTGCATCACCTCCGTCTTCTCTATGTTTACCTGGAGTCCTGTCTTCGCTGCTTCTTCAGCCAGTTTGTTGCTTTTCGCCTGTAAGTGTTCGAGTTCGTATGACACTAGACACAAACCATCCACACGTGAAATTCAGATCTTCTAGAGTCTTCTTATCTGTGGTCCAACGTATTCCTGTCTTCTCACTCCCCACGCACAGTCTGACGCATGATCTAGTCCACCACAATTAGGAATATCATCAGCGATAATAGGCAATCAGCATGTCTTACTGCTTTATTCATTTGTATCGGCCCGCTGAGTTTTCAGTTGTGGATCACCTGACACGTGGCATTGTCATGTAGCCGGCTGTTGAATAAGGTTGATAAAGACTTGGGGTGCTGCACGCCGTAGTGTTGAAGTAGTTTCCAAATTACTTCTCAGTCAACTCTGAGCTATCTAAGGCCTTTTCGAAGTCGACGAAGTTAAGGTAGAGTTTTGACTGCCACTCTATGCTTTATTCGATGATGATACCTAGAGTTACAATTTGATCAGCACATGATTGGCCTTTTCTGAATCTAGATTGTTCTTGCAGGCAGAGTTCTGTATCCAGTACATCTTTTATTCTCTCCAGGATGAAAAAATCAAAAGTCACATTTATTCAGAATTATCTAAAATTTTTCTTATGATTTTCAAGAGGAAACACCCTAACATTGTCTGCTTTAATAAGCATTAAATCCTTTTTCTTTCAACTTATGAAAACAAATTCTATCTTAAAAGATGACTCACTAGCAATACCGAATTATCGGACAAACTCATTAGACGGTCAATATTTCTCAAAAGTTTTAAAACACAACCCGACTCAAAAACTCTCAGCTGTAAGTAGCAGGCAGAGTAAACATGAATCAATAAGTCAAGGAGATGAAGTTAAACATAATAAGTTAAATGCGTGGAGGTTTTAATTACCTCGAGACTTTAGACATGAAACATGAAAATTCGAAAAGAAAATAAATGGAAAATGGACCATAAAAATCATTGGCTTTAGGGTTAGGAAAGGTGTGCATATACCAACTGAAATGTCAGGTTCGATTCCAGTTTCGTAGTATTTTTTAATAGGAGGATTACCTGCGCTAAAAGCTCTGATGAAATTTCCTTATTGAAATTCTTCGTCACAGATGATGAAAATCTAAACTTTATGGCATTTCTAAATATGAGGTTAAATGATTAGGCGATTGAATATGTTATCTGCAAAGTGATCGTTAAAGAATCATGCGGAAGTGGGTCTAGAGGGACCTTTTAGGTACACCGTCTGTTTTTTAATACGACTACTCTGACGTAACTCCTTAAGCTTGTCTGAATTTATGTGATCACATAAGAAGCGTACATTCTCATCTATGGTAACGTCTGTGGAAAGCATCTGTATTTTCAACATATTGATATATTTTACTGATTTGACAGAAATCAAAGGTTTTCTTCAAGCCCGTTCCTTGCCATAAATATCCGTAAGGGTTCGAAGATATCTGTCAATTATTTAGCGACCAAATGCTAGAGTGAAGCGGGATGTCCTTCACTAGGTAATCCGTATGACCTTGGAATAGGTGAGCTGCATGATTTTGCGTGCATATACACCTGTAATGTTATGCATTAATCATATGTCATTTTCTTCAGTAATCTCTTAAGAAGATTTTCTGCACTTTCGTTTGCTTCCTCGCTGTTGAATGATTCGTATAATTCGATGTAGTTGGACCGATTTATTGCTGCGACTTCTGTTCCTTTTGCCTGGGTGAACTAGGATTATGTTTGTTCTTTTAGAGTTCTCAAAATGGCTTTCCTTTCTTACAATATCTAATATCGATTGCTGATTCTGATTTATGTATTCATGCTAAATAGAGGTTAGGTGATCTTATCCTTAACTTGTAAAGTAGAACGTACAGACAACTTACGTAAACTGAAGAACAAAAATAGACACTCATTTGAGCAGTTTTTGTCCCATTTCGTAAATATTATAAGAATTCTTATGGTTTCAGGCAGATTTTCTTGACTGGCGAATGGTTCAGTTTTCTGCCAAATTAACATTATGTATGAGGTCTTAGCATGAATGATAGTTATTCCTTTAGGTTATTTAAATGAAATTTGTGTACTGTCTGTACACCTATTTTAGTTTCTTATCAGCAGAATGAGAACTTGTAGAAGCGTTTTTCAGTCAGTTTCATTCATAGACCTACCTTAATCTGTGCATTTCTGATCGGTTATGCCTGAATAGTTTTCTGTGTACATACAGTGGTATAATTTTCAGTGGGAGATGGAAAATTTATCTTTCCATGTTTATTGCATAGCTTTCTTGTGAGGTGGTTGATTTGCATTCGGTAAATAAGTTCATGACATATCCTCCTTTATTGGTATCAATGAAAAGTCTGGTTGTTCATATAGTTTCATGTAACAACATTTCATTCTATCGATGGTATTATTATTTCTGTCATTTTTAAAGGATTATTTATAGCTTTAGAGAAAGTTAGTCCTTAGAACATAAAATTTCATTACTGAATAATTATTTTATCATTATTGTTTCTATTCTTTTCATTATCTAAGTGGCATCTGAAAGTATCAATCCAGCTACACTAACTGATTTGGAATCTGTTGTTTATCCAAAGTCTGTGGCTCAAAAACTTCGTTTAATGTCTGTCGTGAAACAAATTTTTATATTTCGATCACTGGATGAAGTAAGTGTTACACCTACCCGCTCACGTCTACTATTCTATTAGGTTTTTTATAAAATGTTTTACACTCTAAAGTGCTTTATGACATAAATGAGGCCTTTTTAATACCAACCTTAGAGTTCTATACACTATCAAATTATCCGTGGGAGTTAAATGAGTGTCATGAATATCATTCTATACGTATTACATAGTCTCCGATGTCTTTTATTGATTAGAGGAGGTTATTTTAAAACTAGTTACAAAACAATGTCTGATTAAATATAATTTTGCGTAATGACCAAGAATACAATTGTTGACAATTGACTATTATCACATTTACGACGTTTTCAACCGTTTCCATCGTTTTCAGTGCACACAGAGTGAAGAGGAAGTGAAGAGCCGTCAAGTAGAGGAGTTGCATTAGTAGAAGGAAGGCAAAATAATAGAGATGAAGATGAAGACAAAGATGAGTGAGGATTAGAGAGGTTTTGCGTGCATTTCGGATTGTGAGGGCGATTGTTACTTCCCGGCTGCCCACACCGTGGAAGTTGGTTGCGTGACCTCAGAGCCCAGGGGACAACTGCTTGAGGCCGGTCACACGCGGCCTGTTTTTGTTTGTTCTTGTTCATTTGGTGTGTCTCAGTAGCATATTTATCACTTCTGCCCTGTGACACGGCAGCAGGAAGCGCGGTCGTTGTTAATCCGGGCCCGACCGATCCGGCATGATATTTTGTGATTTACTTTGAGTCATAGCATTGGGTTGGGTAACTGCTTTTTGTCTAACCGCTATCCAAACAACCTTTCTGGATGTAGACCTCAAGCGACATAAGTCTCAGCCAGTATAGCTTGTTGGGTCATTGCGGTGTTCAAGCCCGACCACCACGTCAAGGTAGCAGCTTTCGGTCGGGTGTTCAAGCCCGACCACCACGTCAAGGTAGCAGCTTTCAACCGTAACATCACTGTTACCTGTGACACTTTCAGTAGTAGTCCACAGTTTTCGCAAACTAGTCAAGTACATCAGAAAACGTTCTACCTTTTAGATAATGAGTAAGCTTTGATTTAATAACCTCAAATTATTGGAATGTAGCTTTACAAAGTGATGCTCACTATCCATATGTGTAGTTCAAACATACATAACCAGAGGAAGAAACAATGAAGTTCATCGGTCTGAACTAATTCTAATGTCCTGTTGTTAGTGTGTGATCAACTTGAAAACTTATTACTGTTTAGTGAAATGTAATCCATACAGATGCATCTTTTTGCTTAGCACATATTTAGAGGTATCCTTAAAATCTAAGCACTTAACTGTTCAGTTTAAAACAAAATTTATTTTGAATCGAATAGTATTAGCATGATTGTCATATATAGAACAACATTCTGGACAAATATTTTCTAACCAAGGTCAAAGCTGGTTAAGTGTTTCAATCGCTATTATCATGAATATTACTGTCAGCATAACTTGGTGCAATGTGATCAGATTTATGAAATTATCAATACTTGTTTACCAGTAAACAATTTTAATATCACACCCCATCAGAAATATAATCAATACGCTATTGAAAGGTCACCAGCATTTCTAAGTGTAGTTATCACCTTTGTTAGTAATAGCGAATTCCATCACTATTAGTATCATTTTATTAAGTTTAAACTATGCGTTGGAACTAAATAACTAAGTGATACAGGTATTCAAAATCTCAATTATCCGTCCGACATCAAGTTTAACGAATTTTGAAGAAACTGTTGTGTTTCCACTTGAGTATATTACTAAAATATCTATCGATATAAACCCATTGTGTTTTCAAGAAAAAGGTACCTGTCAAAATCCATGTTTCCCCATCACATATATGCAGTTTACGAAGGTCAAGTGAGTAGAGAAATTCAATAATTTAGGGTTTGTCTATAGGATTTTCGTAGATCTTTCAGTCTAATTTATCACTGCCTGCTTCCTTTTCGATCAAAATAATTTAGGTGCTCAGTTCTTTACTTAAGGTATTGATTTTTTTGTACGTTTTGGGGCTTCAGTTCACTTACAAGCAACACCTTGTCTAAATATGAAGTTTACATAGACGTTTTCGCTTTCAGATCTGGTAGACAGAAGATGAAGTATTTAGCTACTTATTTCACTTGTGAGTAGACAGAGTGTTGAAATGTTTTTCAGAGGTGGTAAGAAGGGTTTAGCAAAAAGCAGAAAATAAAGTTTCATGAACTATCATTTATTGTGAATCACCTATATGGAATCCTTAATTACGTTTCTCATGGACTGACCATCACTATTTAATAGCTCTTTACCATCTACTTGGCTGCATTCTGCATTTTGCAGTGGTAATCTAGACTGTTACAGAGTTATACATCTGCTTACTTTCTTCCTTTTTTCATAAGGCATGTCGAATTTTGACGCATGAGTATAGCTCAAAGGCAAACATTTAGTGGGAGGATCAGGTCTGTAAAAGGTTTAAGCAAGATCAAGGCGATAAATTAGTGTTTTTGCTCTGGAGTTCAGGAGTTAAGGAATTCGATTTTCAGAAATCTTACTGCAAATTTCAAAGATAATTGTTTTTCAAGTATTGGTTTTGTAGGGATTTTGTTTGATTGGTAGGAGGATTTCATCATAAGCTGACATCAGTTAGAGAACCATTGAAAAACCTGGGAGTACTGGACAGCTGTTTCGTCTTAGTTTGGGACTCTTCATCAGCATGCACACACCTCCATAGTTCGAAACTAGTACCTTCCAGCTGCAAGGCTAGCGAGCTCGTAGACCATTGAGCCACTGGGACCCGACCCAATGGCCACTTTATGAATTCCAACTTCTGCCAATTCATGACATAGCGCGACCACTTCGCAATGTCTTCTTCAATGAGTTACTGCTTCACCTTCGACCTGCCATATCCTACTGGTCACGGCTTTCCACTAGAACCCCAGGTAACTGCCTGAATAGGGCCAGTCGCTAGTGAAGACAAAAATACAGAAATGATGCCAAACACACCATCTGCTCTAAGAGTCAACAGTGAAATATGATTATTACAAGTGGGGATCATAAATGTGAGTCAGTAACAACTAACACTCCTTGCATCTCATACGTGTCGATGTGAGCCCAATGGATAATGCTTTGGTGTTTGAAGCGAAAGTTCTGAGTCTGAGCGCCACTGTAAATACAATTGCTCTCTGAGATGCGTGTTCATCCATCTGAAAACTCTTGAATAGAACGAATTCGCCTCAATTTTTGTCATTAGTTTTTTCTATATTGAATAAACTGAAATGAATTATAAAAAAAATTAACGACATTTCTTGTAGATATATGAACTTTTGATCCACTTAGTGAAGCGTGATGATTTAGTTTATTTGTGTCATTTTCTTTAATCTTCTCATCTGTTTTATATTACTGATGTTGCTATCTTCACTATTAGTGAATCCCAATTTTTTCTTCTCCTTTTTCTTCCCTTTTCCCTTTTTTAATTTATATTTGTTTATTTTTATTTTGATGAAACAACAAAATGATAATTAGAATCAACTTAGAAGGGTAATCGATGCAATGAAGGAGACACCTGTAACTAAAGGTCAAACAATTATACGTCAAGGTGAAGATGGTGACTATTTCTATATAATCGAAAGGTGAGTATAATTTTAATTAAAGGGCAAGTGATGCATATCTATAGAGAGAGAGACATAGATAAACTAAAAGTAAATATTTTTTCTTCTTATTAATTAGATGACATATATTTTTATCTAGATTATGAATTTTGTTTATATGTCATTTGCAGTTATTTTCATTTTTGAACTGCTCTTTTAGAAACTAGTCAGTTGACTGTTCAGTAAAAACCTCCGGGAAAGAGGTCACTTTTAAAAGCTTTTCAAAAATTGATGAAAGATACTCAGTAAACGTTTTAAAAGACTGATAAAGAACAAAGAATATTCTTTCCGATAACTTTCGCATCAGATTATACAGTTATATGTTCAAAATATTTGAAGAATTATTGTTATTAACGCGTGTCGGTGGTCCATGTACGTGTTCCGGGTTTGAATTCTGAAACCTCTGCTAGCCGATAGTAAGCACAGTAAAGATGAGAAGTTGGGCATACAGGCTCAGAACTCCACTCCGTTGAAAAATAACACTGCCGTTACTGAAATTTTAAAACTGAAGCTTGAGCTTCATGTTCTACTCGGAACGCAAAGGAATGAAGATGATGGTCGCTATTAACAGGACATGTACCTTCAGATAAAGGCGTACCAGTAAAAGCTGGTAATACTTTGTCATACATAGTGTAAGTAGAGGGAATGAAACAAAGAATTAGTGGATTGAAATAAAAAGCAAGTGCATCAAACTAGGTTAATTGGAAATATGGAGAATAATAAATGTTCAAAGACTTTTAGGGGATAACAAATGTTATTTCGAAGAAACCTATATTAATAATAAACTATAAGTAAATGATTAAATGCCTTTGCTCTATGCTAAAGATCAAATGGCCAGTGGGCTGGCTGGTCGACCAAAGAGAATTAGCCACAAGAAACTATGTGAACAAATGAATTAAGAACGTATTGGTTACAGGATTTCATCATGAGCTGACATTAGTTAGAGAACCACTGAAAAACCTGGGAGTACTGAACAGCTGTTTCGTCCTAGTTTGGGGCTCTTCAGCAGTATGCACTCACCGGGATTCGAACACAGGACCTTCTGGTTACAAGGCGAGCTCGTATACCATTAAGCCACTGGGACCCGATCCAATGGCCCATGAATTCTAACTTCTGCCAATTCACGACATAGCGCGACTCCTAGCCAATGTCTTCGGCGAGTATTTATCCTCACACCCGACCTGCTTCACCTTACTGGTCGGGTGTGAGGATAAATGTCAGCTCATGATGAAATCCTGTAACCAATCAACCAAATCCCTACAAACCAATACTTGAATAAGAACGTATTGTTCAACAAATATGTAGAAGAAAATGGAGATGGATTGGGCAAATGCGGTGGAGACCATCGAGTGACATCGTGCGTAATGCAGGCCACTACTCGAGTGGAACCTTAGTGGGAAACGGTGAGTTGGTCATCGGTGCGAGGGTGATATGGAAGAGATCGTGTGGCAAGGAGGAGATGAGAGATTATGGGCAATTGTGGGCCTAGCTGAAGAGGAAAGCAGAAAATAGAGCAAAGTGGAGATGTGTTGTTGAAGCCACATGTTCCACTCGGAACCCAAGGGAACAGTAATAGAATAATAATAATAAGTGAATGACAGAATCCTCAGGTTGTTTTATTATAAAATATTCAATCTGTACGCAGAATTTTCAAGCAAAAGGATATAAGAAATCATGTCACATAATGTAAAGTTGTTTCGTGTAAACCAAACTGCTACCCCCCTTTAAAGATTTTTTTTGAAATTCTGTTCTAACAATTCACGGGAATCTACTGAAAATAGAAAATTCGCAGTTATTTTGAAATTCTAGTAACGATGATTGAATAGTTGATGCTACAACTATAGAGAAAGGCTGTTTATTTTTCTGATCACATGGATTTCTGACTTCTTGTGATTTGTTCACAATGCATTTATAGATATTCGGAGACATATGAATAATTATTACGAAGTATTATTAATTACTGAAATTAATTTGCTTCATATGCATTAGGTTTACAACTTGCTTCTTGTTTATTCTTTTATTTTATTATCATTTCCTTTGTTTTACTGTCAATCACCATAATTTCTATTGGTTTTCTTGCCTCATTAGATATTGTCATATTTGAAGGGATAATTGTTAATTTCTAATTCATAATGCAATCATATATCATTGAAAAAAATGTAATATCTTAATAAGTGTGTGTACAGTTGTGGAAACAATATTACTTCATTTTTAGAAAGAGTGTATAAGTGTTTGTAAAGATGCGGTAGACTGAAAAGTTTCAGGCTTGATCACAGAGTGATATCAGTTAGGGAACCGTTGAAAACCAAGGAGCCCTGGACAGCTGTTCCGTCCTAGTTTGGAATTCTCCAGCAGGTTCGAACCTAGAAGATTCCAGTTACAAGGCGATCTTCTAGGCCATTCAGTAAGTGGGGCCCGATCCAGTGTCCCCCATGATTTCTAACTGTCGTTTCAACAAATGGCATTACTGCAGTTTAAATCATACTAGATTGACTACACTATACTATTAATCTAAATTTATCATTGAATTTGTTTTGTTCCAGACTTTTAAAGATATTGATGAGGTAGTCTCTTATTATGTTTTTCTGCTTTTTAGCTTCTCTAAAGGGAAAATAAAGCTTTTTATAAGCTAACCGTTACTTTGTCTGAGACTCTTAAATATATAGTGATAAGTGGGACTCTTAAGTATGCACATTTAACTGGGAAGGTTTCTGAATTAATAGCATCCTGTAGGACTGATTAGTAAGTGCCAAATTTTTTGAATGAAGTTTCTGAGTCCAAATCTGATATTACGTAACAAGAAAAAGGCGACATAATTTACAGTAGCACCATGTTACTTAGCTTTATTTAGTGCCCACATTGTACACTTGACCAATATGTTTTGGTTTATAATATTTAGGAGCAGACAACTGCCATCTGATATCGGATTTGCTTAGTGTTTTAAATTCTCAACAACCGATAAGACAACAAAGAAACATTGAGTAAAACATTCCTAAGACTGAATTTAACTCAATAAGTGAAAATATTCTCAACACATTTTACTGTCTCCAAAGTCAAATATCGACATGTGTGGGATAATTTTTAGTTTATTTAAGTGTGTTGTAACGATTTTCACTCAGTACAGTTATTTATATGACGTACTCTGGTAAATGACTGAACGAGTTTTCAAGATTGATCACGAAGTGACTTCAGTTGTAGGAACGTTGGAAACCAGGTATTACTAGACAGATGTTTCGTCCTTACTTCGGACTCTTCATCAGAACGCGCTAATGACTCCACTAACGGTCAAATCCAGAATCTTCTGGTTACGAAGCAAGCTTCTAGACCATTCAGATACGGGGATGGAATCTGAAAGCCCATCAGTTCCAAATCCTGCTAATTCACGATAAAATGAAAAAGTCAGAGAAAAAATGTTACCAGTGTTTGGTGTGTGAATTAAATTCACCATGTGTTTCCTCAACTTTTAAGAGATGACGGTAGACTATCTTTAACAACTTGTGAGACAGCTCTGACAACTATTGAGTTGTAAACACTGTGACCAGTAGTGGACATACAAGGATTGAGTTAATTCAGAAATAATCTATCTCTCACTTTGACACTCTTCAAACTACGTTTTCTTAAGTTATGAGCTCTGTAACTAAACTGTTGTCAAACCATACTTTCATTGAGAGACAGGTATTCCGTCCACAGTACATGCAGCGTTGTTTGTACTTTAGTGAGCAAATAAGCGTGTATATAAAAATCCCACAGTGTTATACAGTTATATTTACTGATCACGTTTCAAGCACAATTTATTACTGCTCATAATCATATCAAGTTACTCACACAACCTTCCAACTTCGTTTATATAATTCCCTTACTTTTCATCACTTGATTTGATTACTAGTGGTATTTTCCATATTTCTGGTATGAGTGATGAATCATTCCTATTGCACGTGTTGGGTGTAGATTATTCTATTCAGCAGTACACACCTACCTGGGTTCGAACCCAGGATCTTCTGCTTGCAACCTAAGCTCGTAAGTCATTAGGTCATTGAAGAGTCCCAAACAAAGACGAAACAGCTGTCCAGTACTCCCAGGTTTTCCAATGGTTCTCTAACTGATGTCAGCTCATGATGAAATCCTCCAACCCATTTAGAAAAAAGGCTCGGCAATTCCACTGCATGCATTAACACACAATCACACAATAAGGTGGGACAGATTCAAAATTCTAAAAAGTAATATAGGTAGGTCGAGAGAGAGAGGTTGATTACTGAATCTTTGTTCTTAGAATCTACACCTGACAAGTGCGATAGGAATAACTCATCACTCATACCAGAAATATGGAATATATTACTACCAATCAAATCAAGAGATGAGAAATAGTGGAACCGTATAAACGAAGTTAGAAAGTTGTGTAACTTGATACGATTATGAGCAATAAATTGTGCTCGAAACGTGGTCATCAGTAAATATTACTGTATAAGACTGTGTGACTTTATCAAAATAAATTTTATCCGCAATGGAATTATGCTCTATCACAGTGCAAAAGTTCTATTCTTATATCAATGATACAAATTTCAGTCATAAATTATATAGTGTTTCAGTGAAATATAGAGCTACTCGAATGAACTCGAAGTGGAATCGTTCTCGTGTTTGCAATCATGATCAATTTATTTTACCTGTTTCCGTCTTGTAGGCTAATGACTCTATACATCATATGCATGTATATATATATATATATATTCATGTATAATATTTCTCCATCACATAAATAAATTCATCAAATGTAACATCTGTCCTGAAAGCTTTGAAAAATTAAAAATAATCTTCCCATCTGATATTATTTATTCAAGGGTCATGTGATGTGATTGACCTGGAGCTTATAGTAGGATAGTTATATTCATCCTTCATGAGTTGAAAATGACAATAAGTTGGGTAGTAAGTAGATTTTAGGATAGTAAAATCTAGAAATATTTATAGGATAGTCTGGGGAAAGAATGCACAAATTTCTGCGAGTTCTAATCTTTCGAAAACTGACGCCGTTCGTTGTATAAACTGTTCTTGCGTGAAAGATACACTGCATTATTATTATTACTATTTTTCCCTTGGGTTCCTAGTGGAACATAGGGCTTCAGCTGTACGTCTCCACTCACTTCTGTCTTCTGCTGTACTTTTAACCTGCATCCATGTTAGTCCATACTGTTTCAGCTCCTCCTCTCCACACGATCTCCTCCATGTCACCCTTGGACGTCCCACTCGCCGCTTCCCTTTCGGATTCCACTCGAGCGATGGCCTGACGCGCGATGTCACCCAGCGGCCTCCTCCTCAGTGAGTGTCCAATCCATCTCCACTTTCTCCTGCATATTTGTTGAGCGATTGGTTCCTGTTTAGTTTGTTCCCATAGTCTCGTGTTGGTGATTCTTTCCGGCCATCTGATCTTGAGTATAGAACGAAGACAGCTGTTGATAAAGGTCTGCAACAGGCTGTTGGAAATATTCTTTGTGACCCGCCAACTTTCTGATCCGTATAGAAGAACTGACTGACTTGACGTTTGTATTGAAAATCCTAATTTTGTTGTTGATGCAGGCTGAGTGACGAAGATTTCCAGATTGGTTTCAGGTTGATGAATGTGTTTCTCGCCTTTCCGTCCCGATTATCGATTTGACATCCTCGTCCGTTCCTCCTGTAGTTGATACAATGCTCCCTAGATAAGTGAATGAAGTAACCTCTTTCAAATCCTTCCCGTTGATGGTGATTGGCGCTGGATGCTGCTGCCCTTGTTATTGTTGTTGGTTGGTTATTTTCATAACCTCCGTCTTGTCTATGTTCACCTGGAGTCCTGTCTTTGCTGCTTCTTCGACCAGTTTGTCGGTTTTTAAAATTATTCTAATTCATTTATTCAAGAATGTGTCTCAAACGACTTGACATATTTTATTCTCTCATATTATCATGAGGGGCTGAGTTAAGCTGATTGCATTTATCTTTCTTAACTAGTTCGTCCCCACTTTTTTTGTCTTAGACGTTATTCATTTACAGTTGAAATTAATTATATATGTGGCAAATCAAGATAAAAGAATATGAGCTGTACTATTGCAATTTACTAACAGTGCAACCATACATACATTTATAATGTATTTTGAAAGATTTCGCTTTCCAAAACTCTTTTCAAGATAAAATACTACATATCCCTGATTTTTCTATTTAGTGGAAATTACGACATTATTATCAATGATGAAGTGATTGGAAGTTATGCTGGATCTGGTTCATTTGGTGAATTAGCACTTATGTACAATACACCTCGTGCTGCTACAATTATCGCTAAAGCAGATGGTATACTATGGTCTGTTGATAGAACAACATTTCAACACATAGTATTAAGACAAGCATTTCTTAAACGACAACTTTATGAAAATTGGCTGTCTTCAGTTCCACTTTTAGCAAGTTTAAGTGCCTATGAACGTGCAAATTTAGCCGATGCTTTAGGAAGTCATACTTACGAAGATGGGGCTGTAATTATTCAAGAAGGTGAACCAGGAGAAGAAATGTATTTTATTGAGGATGGATGTGTGGAAATATCAGCTAAAAACTGTGTAAGAACCTTTTTTTATTCATGAGTTTATTAGTTATTTTCCTTCAAATAAAGTGGTGTTTATTACTTCAAGATTTCATGTATGATACTATATTCTTTATTCTTTTAGTGCATACCACAGTCAACCAGTAAACGGATGAAATGCTCTTAAGCACATCCTCTGCAAGACTGCTGTTTTGATTTAAAGATCAGGAAATAAAATGCTTCTATTAATTAAGTTGAATTTAGTTGGTTGGAGGATTTCATCATCAGCTGACATCAGTTAGACAGTACTAGAAAGCTGTTTCGTCTTGATCTGGGACTCTTCAGTAGTATGCATCCACTGCCACGGTTCGAACCCAGGACTTTCTGGTTACAAGGCGATCTCGTAGACCACTAAGCCACTGGGACCCGATCCAATGGCCTATGAATTCCAACTTCTGCCTACCGATGAAGAGTCCCGAAATGGGACAAAACATGTGTCCAGCACTCTTAGGTTTTCCAATGGTTCTGTAACTGCTGTCAGCTCATGATGAAATCCTCCAACCAATCAAACAAAATCCCTACAAAACCAATACCTAGGCTAAATTTAAACATCTTTATATAATCTTATATTTTAAGTCATTTACGCAGTTAGAAATGTGATTCATTAAATTTCGTCTGAATAAAATAACATTCTTCACATTCACGTAGGTTGGTTAGGATATGCTGCACAGTTGAGTGATATATAATGGAGAAGATTTGTAACTCAGGTGGATGATTTCGATGTAGTTGTGTTCTTTGAGCTGGATTGTTTACTTGTAAAGCTCTCATTACCCTACTTCAGCCCGTACTTCAGCTTAAAGTAGACTTCAAATTGAAGTATGCACTAAAGATGTTGCCTAGTAGGACAATGAAAGCATAGCAAGCAAACCATCCAGTTCAGAGGACACAATCACATCGAATGATGATATCGTTTTAGTATTCATAAAAAAAGGTTTTATCCTTTTTCTCTTCATTTATTTGATTTATAATGAGGTAAATGGAATTGATAATATGGAATATAGTAATTCATTCATTTCACGAGTTATATAATACTACTTATTACTGTATAAGTGACTTGAAATAGATTTATGAAATATGAATAACTTGTGTTTTTTAAATTTTAACCAAATAGTATAATAATTATTGTATAGCTGGATATTGATTGACTTAATCTGAAATAATAAAAAAAAAACATCACGTGTGTTCAGGTTACCACGAATTGCATCCTTTTGATTTGTTAATGAATGCTAATCAATTCTCAGAAAAATATATAAATGTATATATATTTTGGAAAAGTCCATTTATACGGTAGCATCACATGAATCCTTGTCAAATAATAATAATGATAGCAATTTAAGACATTTTTGTTCCTCATGTGCATTTCGGATGTTATTATTATTCCCTTGGATCCAGAGTATAACATAGGATTTCAGAAGGACACTTCCATTCCACCCTGTTTCCTGTGGTCGGCTCAATGATCGGCCATAAGCTCTCATTTCTTCCATGCTACCTTCAGATCCATGCCCGACTTGTCGCTTCCTATTCGGGTTCCACTCGAGGGGCTGTTTGGCGTGTGATGTCACCCAACCGTCTCCTCAGTGTATGTCCAATCTACCTCCATTTCTTTCCGCCCCACCTAGTCTATTAGCCTGTTTTAACCTGAAGAAAAGAGGGAATTTGGGGTGCTGGGTTAGTTACCTTACACCGGAAAATCAATCCAATTGCTACAGGAATTTCAAAGCACAGCATTTGTCCTAATGAACAGCCCTAATTCCAGCTTCACGTATAAGAGAAGCTTCTAGCTTTTGCCTGAAAAGTTTTTTAGCAACTGTTAATAGCAATTGTTAGTTAGAGATAAGATAGTTACCGCCGACAACACTCGTATTCACATGTACTCGGAAGTGATTCCCTCCTATTACGGAATGGATGCTCAAATTTCTCTAGACATGAATATATGAGATGAGAAATGATAGCATAGCAATATAAGGCTTTGTGGTAATAATAATAGATGGAAAAGTAGTTCTCTATCCTTCATTAACAAGGGGTAGACAGAATTTTAAGCCTCATTTCAATTAGGATGTCTGTAGTTGTACTTAAAACCTTGTTGATTTCTGTTTCAGTTAAGCAATATTCCACAGGGTTTTAAAAACTTTTATATTTCCTATTTAAGATAAAAACATGTAATAAAGGCTAATAAAGCGGGGTTTAATGAATTCACCAGGTTTCGGTAGAAATCTTCAGCCGAATATTCTACATGTACTGTAATATATATATATATACTATTAGAAGTATATAGGGAGGAGTTTGACTAATAAAAAGCTACGGCAAATCAGTTATGCAAGACAAAATTTGAAAATGTCTTACAGAACAAGTTCAGATAGACAAAGAGGGAAGGGGTATGAGAGACTGGAATTCAAGATTATAGTTCAATTAGGTCACCATAGTAAACAATACGCTATCAAGAAAAGAACTTGAAGATTCTAGAAACGAATACACTCAAATTGATGTACGTATTTAGAAGTGTAGAGGACTACCAACTAGTTTTTTCAGAACTGTTGAAGCATCCTCTTGACAATGTTAAGCAGTACAAGTTTGCAGCATAACAAGTTCTTTTAATGATTTTCTCAAGTTTTCGTTGGACTACATCATCTTTAAATGACAGATTGATATGCACATCCTTTTTTGAAATTGTCTGGACATTTTATTGGCTTTTATTTCTTTAGAATACTTATTGACACATCTCTCAAGATGTCTATTTTAGAAAGAATAACTTTCAGGCTCTTTAGTTGATGTTTAATTGTGGTGCTGGAACAGATTATCATGTTATAATGAACAATGTTCTGGTTAGGTTTTATTTATACCAAATGGGAACAGAGCTCCTAGAGTGCAGATATTTTCTTCTCCATGAAAACCTTCTAAATATGGATTTTTCTATTGTGCCATCAGTTCTTTTCATCAGAAAAATACCTAAGAATCTAATAGCATCATTTTTCTCATGTCCCATCGTGAAGCTAAGATCAGGATAGCATGAGATGAATTTCGTCAATAAGTTTTCTGCCTCTAGTTTACTTTCACAGCCAATAAAAGCATCATCTACATATCCTAAATACGGTTGCATCTATTGTATATACTTTCTCAATGTGCCAACTTCCAAGCCTGATAAGAATAAGTCAGTGGAAAGTGGCTCCCACGGGTTTCCGACTGCAACACCATCAACTTGACAGAATGTTTAATGTTTAAGATTCATGTCAAGGTCATCTTTTTATTAACATTATTTGATCCCTGAATCGTTCAGAATTTTATTGATCTATTTCACGTATTTTTAATGTATGAGTACGGTACACAGATGAAATTTCCACTCTTGTCTGTCTGCTTAATAGCAACTTTGGGAAAGTTTCAAAGCTACGTAGCCAAGAAAAGCACACAAAAGTGGGCTTTTAAGACCTCTCAAGGTTATACAAGAAGTGGAGCAAAGTTTTCAGTAACTGTAGTTACTAAAGTTAAGTAGTAATGAAAATGCGTGCCTTACTTCAAAATGGGGCTTCTTTTGTTGACTCAGATACTTAAAATGGACTGGATTATCAGATTAATTTTACTCAAATGAACTGATGACTGGTGTTAAAATGGAATCATATAGATCACGAACTTAACAGTAGAATTATTTTACCACATATAACTGGATTTTAATGTGTAAATTAAATCTTCTGCAATAAATATGATGTAAGAGACGATAAACACGAAAACCGAAGTATTAGGAAGGAGTCTATATACGTATATTCTACAACTGTTATTTAAATATCTTGAGGTTAAATTATTTTAATTGTTTAAATAAGTATTATTTGTACGTGAAACCTCTGTGCGTTCGCCAATTAGAGTTTTATTTGGAAAAGCTCAGTGTTTCTCATTTTCTTCGTGCCTAGAAATTTGTAGTGATGACTGCCTTCCATAAAAAAATGTTACATCAAAAATTATTACGAGATGACCATTAAATGAATGAATTTCGAATAACAATAAGATATGAAACAAAAAATAATTGAGCAAAGAATATCCTTTTCGATAATTTCCTCTTCTGACTCTACAATTACATATATATGTTTATGTACATAGAATATTCTAGAATAGTAGTCAGTAACAATACTAGTGTTTTTTAAATAATATCGATTTGCAAAGTAAGATCAATGAAATTACAATTCATTGAAAATGCTTAAATTACAATAATAATAATAAAAATATAATAGCAAGCAGAATATCAACTAAAATTAGGGAAATTTCTACAAAAGCTGAGGATCATTCGGATCTAGGTGGTCAAGGTAAGTACAATGTCTGAAACTGCTCCTTTTGGACGCATAAATTAGACTTCCTAATGTGGGTCCCAACAGCCTCAGCAATATTCAATAATAGAGCTCTTAAGGCAAAGTTAAGATTTGTTGGTATGCGGTAAATACCTTTGAAAGCCTGGTTAACATTAATCTTGTGTTCTGTATCCAAAAAATGAGACAGAATAGCGTTACGAATAGATTTTGTTTTTCCTATTACTTAATCACGCAGGGTGATGTTCGGAAATCCGACGAGAAACACGCCTAATTTTACGGCCTATGTAACTGTCTTCACAGGAGCATCCATTTAACACAGCTAGTTACAATGTTCACATTGGATGAGAGATAAACAGATTTTACTCTTGATATACTTTGGTAAAGACCAGTAGCAGTTTGAGAACTTCAGCGTACACCCATTCTGTTTGTTTCTGTCATTTGAACTTTTAATTAGCGTTGTATTAATTTATGTTTTCTATGTGGGAAGTTTCATACAGGGTCCATTTGTTGTTATAGCATTATTTCATTTTAATTATAATATACAAATAGTTATAACTTTTGCTTAACGTTTCACTAAAATGCGCTTTTATAATTATTCTTCACACTAAAAATTAATGCTGTTTCACTAACAGGCGGATGATTGGCGTTGAAGCAATGCTGTTTATTCAATACATTTTTGATCATTCAAAGAGTTATATAATAGTAATAATTAAAGTACAACTGTTTGAAGAATTTATTATTTTTATAAAATAAAGTAACTGAAGGATAATTGACTGTTCACATGCGTTTATAAGGTGAAATATCTCTCTTTACATGATGATTAGTATTCCGTTGATGTTATCATGTTATTGTTATAGTTTAACATAAATATTAGACTTTAGAACAACACATGTAAGCTAGAAAAAAATATATTGTCTTCATTTAGATCTCTTTAGGCTTTACCCCTAATATACATTACTTTACCAATAAACATTACACATGAACCAATCATGTTGATTTATTGATAGGGTTGGTAAAATGGCTATAAATTTTGCATTTAGTTATGATAATTACAATAATAATAATAAAAATAATTCTGTTGATAACAGTGCTGAATAATTGATGAATTTGTGATAGTAAGAATAGTGAAAACTGTGTGCTGATACAAATGAATCTTCAAAACAGACATTGTAGATAATGGCTTGAAAAATATAAATAACAATAATACATAATACTGAATTGTAAGGGAAGATTTTGATGAGAATGCAGTCAGACTAGGGAAGGATTGATAAAAATCAGTTAAAATAAGATTAAAACAAGTAATAGGGTGTCGCTACAAGTGGTTGCTTAAGTTTTAATTGACAATGAAACGGATAATGGCTGAATGAACTTATTATGGACACTGTTTGGAATTATTAGTTTGACTACCGATAGCACCAGCTGTATTCAGTAGGTAGACATAAAAGGCATTGCGAAAATTCTACGGGATGTGATAAATCACCTTGAATGCTTTCATTTTGTCCACCGAATGGCAGCTTTCCAACGATCCTAAACTGTTCAATTCTTTTTTAATAGTTGATTCTGCTGACAGGAGAATCTATTTTATCAGGGAAAGTGATGGTATGAAGATGTTTTAGAGGCCATTAAAGTGATAAAATGTTAGTTTTTAAAAAAAGTCTCACATTACCGAATAATGGTTAGGTTTGACACGTCTTTCATCTGCACAACACTAGTAGTCAATAAAAAGGGAAACAAAGGAACTGAAAAAAATAAACAAAAATTAGAATCAAGGATTTAAAACCCTTTAGGGTGAAAAGCAGTGGTTGGTTTAAGTTCACTGGATCTTGAGTAGTAGCGCTGAGGTCATTGTTATCTGGCCGGTTCTACTGTATGAGGGCGATTCATCTACGTAGCTCAGATCAGACCTCAGTGACTGCACTTGTGGGTATTATGTCGTGATCTGGTCATTCACTAACTTATTTCAGCTTCCTACTGTCTCCGCTAAGAAAAACGTCGAGAAAGATGACTGTTTAACATGCATGATAATATGATTAAGCCACTTGGCTAGTGAAACTTTGCAACTTGCTTAATTGTGTTGGGTGATTGGAGACGACCATTAGGAAGCCCTGGATCTAGGCTTTGCAGTCATCAGAAAATATTGTCTGCAACTTTGTGTTAGGAATTGATGGTCAGTATGTGAGTGAAACCCTATCGCAGTCGGGACCGTTACTGTTTAGCCACTAAGATCATAGTTAACTTCTTGTATGGCCATAACAGATATATTGACACACTGAATCCCTAAGGTGACATCACTTGCTGCTAGGCTGCAGATATACGTTACTGACAAGTGCCAGTTAACATGAAACCCATGTCTATGGTTATCTACTGACCACCTCCAACCACCTAACACTAATTTAGAATGCATCACGAAGGCCAGTTATTGAGCCTGTTGACATCACAGGGAGCCTGATTGATGGAACTCAGCCAGTGTTAATATAAACGGCTGAATACATGACATTATTTACTCTTTAGTAAACTGGACTGCTCTTTAAAGTTCACATTTAACTTCAAAAGTCTTCATAAAATTGTCAAATTCAGAGCAATCGTACTTTGGGCCTAAGTAGACTCTCAAGCTTCCATAAATATCTTGGACATTTATAAAATGGAGCAAAACACATTGATGAACAGTAAATGGGATATTTTTTGGCGATAAAACACTTTGTTTGTACTATGGAAGGTGCGATTTGAGGAAAGCTAATTGAGCAGCAAGATTTATTCCATTAGTTCAGCAGAGCTAATGTACACTTTCGAGTAGATGAAATGGCTCTAGATGCCTAAAATGACTATCAGTATCACCTAGTCTTGAGTCAGTTATTTAACTTTTGAACGTAGCAAATGTTTCCTAAATTTTATTGTGCATTGTCATACAAAGTCTTCAGAAGACTGTACTTCATTAGCTTCTTCCATGACTGTATATTCTACCAGCTTCAAGACCACAAAATATCTTCCATCATCGTTAAATGTTCTAATATACTGATGATGTTTATTTATTGTTACTTTCTTATTGAGCTTCAAAATTCATTGCGCTTTTTATTTATGCAGAAAGGAGAAGAAGTTGTCCTCAAACAGTTGCATAAGAATGACTATTTCGGCGGTAAGTAGTATAACTGTTTAACATTTATATTGTGTACTGCAAATTTTGTTGTGCACAAAACATTACAAAATAATTTAGTATTGTATTTATAATACCTGCTGACTACCTCAACTGTTGTTTGGCATACTTCTAAAGGGAAAAAAAGTGGTGAGCTCTATCGTACATTTTGATAGAGTATCAATAACTTCTTATTCTCTGTTTGGTTTCAAAAGGGTTGTGAAAAATAACACTTGTGGTCAGGTATATACATATATATTAACTGTAAACGTTGGTTTATTCAAAGATAAAATTGCAGCTACAAGAGAACTACACAAGTTTCTGTTTTTCTGGTGAGTGTATCAATTCATAAGTTTACAGTCTGAAGACAAAGATACTTTCTGCATTTAAAGATATAACCTCAATCAGAGTAATAGTATCGTTTACTTCAGATTGGAAAATAAGAGAACAAATGGAAATATGTCTTGATTTCCTAAGTTCTTAAACTTGGATACACCTGATTATATACATATGACCTTAAGAGGACTCATAAATCCCACAGGATGTGAAAGCGAACAAATTATTTGATTGAAAGTCACACGACAGTCTAAAAGACAGTTTGATTATGAGAAAAAATTATATGCATGATAACATTTCTGTAGAAGTGTATCTGACATGCAGAAAAAGACAAAACTTATTAAAGTATCACAAAGATCGTTATCTTTGTAACGAATATGTGTAAGGTTAAACAATTTATGATACAGTAGGAATATAAATGCGATTTGATTTGAACCGAATTTTATTGTAATTTTATTCATTATATTGTTTTCACCTTGAACTTTCATGAACATTGGCCGGTATTTCATATATTATGTGCCATCAGTCATCTTCATCACAGAAAAAGGACTTGTAACGTAAAGTGTGCTCATTTTTTCTAACTCACTTAAATGAAGGTGAATCCCTCCTAAATAGTTTTTGGTATACTATTCCATGAATTTCCCACTGAATGTCGATAAATAAATTCTTCTCATAGGCCATTTGCTAAACAACTCGAATCTTATTTGAAACTAATCACAAATTGCTAGTTGACTTCTGCACCAGTCACAATGACACTATCGTTGTTTTACGTATTACTTTTTTCTCAAACTTCAATTTCAGCTATTCCGAATTCAAGTATTGGTTTGTAGGGATTTCAATAGTTAGTTACAGGATTTCATCATGAGCTGACATCGGTTAGGAAACCATTAGAAAACCTGCGGGTGCTGGACAGCTATTTCGTCCTAGTTTGTGACTTTCCAGCAGTACGAACCTACCGGGGTTAGAATCCAGCGCCTTCTGGTTACAAGACGAGCTCGAAGACAATTAAGCCATTTGAATATTAATGATACGCTAACTGGCTACTGATCCTATTCAGGTGGGTAGTTACCTGGAGATCTAGTGGGACGTCGTGACCAGTAGGTAAGGACAAATGCTCGCCTAAGACATTGGCTAGTGGTTGGGCTATTCCGTGATTTAACAGAATTTGGAATTCATAGACTGTCTATTGGGTCGGGTCCCAGTGGCTTATTGGTCTATGAGCTCACCTTGTAACCAGAAGACCTTGGGTTCGAACTCTGGAGGTGGGTGCGTACTGATGAAGAGTCCCAAACTAGGATGAAACAGCTATCCAGTAATTCCAGGTATTCCAGTGATTCCGAATTCACTGATTTTATGTACATTATGGACTATTTGTAGATGAGAATGGAACTTTTGAAATAAAATGTACACATTAGACATAACAAATCTTACCGGAAATTTTCACAACACAGTTGCTGTACGCCGCATGCATTTATCAAAAAGGTGCTCAAATGGATAATAAGACTTTTAAATATATCATGCTATATCCTGCTAATTGATTGATTGAATATGAATGGCTGGATACCACTCTCATTTACCGGTAATGACTGACAGTCACAATGTAAATCATGAACTAATTTACAAATTGCAAGTATGGTTTAATTACAGCTTTAATTGTACACAGGTTATTTTCCCCACTTTTTTCTAGTTTATCTTATTATTACTTTCATAGCTATCTCTTAAAATAATGATTAAAATGGGTGTATTCTTATTCTTGTTCTAATTTGTGAGCTTTTCAAAATTCTGCAATAGTTACTTGCTGCAATACTGATAAATACGATTCGTTTTAATTTTTGATTTAGAACTCGCATTGATTCTACATGTACCCAGGATAGCTTCAGCTCGTGCAGTCGGCAGAACTAAACTAGCAGGTATGTTTACTACTTTACCGCAATAATGGTCCTATCTTTAGTTAGAATATGAATTTAATATCTTAATTAAGTTTCAGAAATCCCGTTATGTATCTTATTTATCCTTTAATTTCGAAGATAACTTGAATTCATCAGTCGGAAGTTGGGAATAAATATCTACACTTTACACCACTGTAATATGCTTTCAAGCAAATTTAGATTAAGTCGTTAATATATAAATTTAATCTTGTTTTTTATATGACTCTACAGAATGCTGGATAAACATAAACTTATAAATCTCTATGTTGACTCTTTTGAAACGTACATTGAGTCTTCAGGTTACAAAGAGATTTTCGTTACATTATGAAAAACAAATATATATTTGACATCTACACTTGTTGAATCACTTCATCTCATTCTCAATGATTCTTCAAATTCTTATTTCCTTTTCATCACATGACTTGATAAGTATTTTTTGCTCTCCAAGAAAAAAAGTCAACAATTAGAACAAATTAGACACTTAACCTTACTTTAAGAGAAATAACTAACCCCTAACACGTAACAGGAACTTAGTGTAACACATATATATGAATTGGATCATAGGAATTATTAAAAAGACGGTTGCAGCGAAGAATATTTTCTTTTCGACGAAGTCATCAACTAGCCTGTACATTCGTGTATTTATGATAAATAAGTGGGAAAGTTCCAGAATAATTTCTGATGAAGGGTCAAATTAATAGAATTACAATAAGGAATTAAAATGCCATGATAAACAGAGTGGTGGGGGGCGGCGGATAAAACTCAAACAAAGTAGCATCATAATTACTGAGAAGATTGACATATTGGGCAGTATTATTTATTATTATTACTATATTATTGTTTCCTTTAATTCCTACAGGAACATAGGGCTTCAGCCGTGTGTCTCCATTGCGTTCGGTTCTCTGCTACAGCCTTCACCTGGCTCCAAGTCTGCCCACACGTTTTCATCTCCTCTTCACACGACCTCCTCCAAGTCACCCTTGCACTGACGACCAACTCGCCACTTCCCTTTCGGGTTCCACTCGAGCAATGGCTTGTCTAGTGATGTTACTTGATGGTTTCCTCAGAGTATGGCCAATCCATCTCCATTTCTTCCTGCTTATTTTTTTCCCAATCTGTTCCTGGTTAGTTCGCTCCCAGAGATCTCTGTTTCTGATCTTTTCTGGCCATCTGATCTTGAGTATTGAGCGAAGGCAGCTGTTGATGAAGGTCTGTAGTTTGTTTTAGATGCTCTTCATGACGCGCCAAGTCTCTGATCCGTAAAGTAGTATTGACAAACTTCACATTGGAGTTGAAAATCCGGATCTTATTTTTGATGCTGAGTGATGTTGACCTCCACACAGACTTGAGAGTAATGAAAGATTGTCTTGCTTTTCCGATTCTTGCTTTGATATCCTCATCAGCTCCGTCCGCCTGTAGTTGAAACGATGCTTCCCAGGTAGGTAAAGGTGGTTGTTTCTTTCAGGTTCCTCCCATTTATGCTGATCGTTGTCTGTTGTTGTTGTTGTTGCTGTTGGTGGTGTTGTCCAGGAATCTTCATCACCTCTGTTTTCTCTATGTTCACCTGATGTCCTATCTTTGATGCTTCTTCTGCCAACTTGTTGCTTTTCGCTACAGTTGGGGGTTCAAAATGTAGAAATAACAACAATAGATAAGATTTTTGGATAAAAAAATCTAGTGGGATCATCACTAATGTGACGAATAATTGTTTATGCAGTCGGGGATTAAATATGTAGAAATAATAAAATGACATACATATTTAACCTCTAACTGCATAAACAATCATTCGTCACATAAGTCATGATCCCACTAGATTTTTTTTATCCAAATATCCTATCTATTGTTGTTATTTCTACATTTCTAACTCCCAATTGCACAATATGTCAATCTTCTCAGCAATTATGATGCTTTTTTGCTTGATTTTTGTCCGTCCCCCTGTTTATTATGGCATTTTAATTCCTAATTGTAATTTTCATTAATTTGATCCTTGACCCTGAAATTATTCTGGAACTTTCCTACCCATTCATCATAAATACACGAATGTACAGCCCAGTTGATGAATTCGTTGAAAAAAATTTTCTTCGCTGCAACCGTCTTTTCAACAACACATATCTAAGTTAAAAACTGATGGGGAAGTTTTACGTGTATTAGTCATCCGTCACTAAGCAGAGTACGATATACTTTTGACTATAATCATCCACTAACAATGAATATCTCAAATGGCTTATATAGTATACAAGCTAGTTTAAGCTCTTTACTTATTACAAAGACTCTTCTTATAAACACCTATAATGAAATAGATTATATATTGTCAGTTGATTAGAGTAATTGTAACTCAATAAAATGGTTACTAAACGATTGTTGGTTTTAGTTCAGAAGTCGTTATCTATGCAGTTTTCTGCTGCCAGGTGATTTGATGAAAAATATTTCTAAAAGTCATTTTTGCATAATACTCATTTATGTGTTCTATGTCTGAATGCCTAGATCAAGTTACTTTTTTTAAGGTGACACTTATTGTTTTGATTTTATTATAAACTAACATTATTTTGCACTCGTTCTGTCGCGTCTATTATTAATGATAGCATTTTTGTTACAAAAATATCATTTGTAATATCAGGTGACCAAACAACTTGTGTGTATTTATGTTGTTGCAATCTGGAATAACCAAGGTGACTGTTCTGTTGGGCTTACACAATATATTTTTTCCTCTCATGTATACGCCATAGTGTGAATTATTTCTACGTTCATCTGTTTATTCAAAATTGTTTTAACTGGCGTATTTGATACACTACAGTTCCTGTGAACTTAGTTGTATATTCTTTTCACACGCAGGTGACTGTTTCACAGTTCACAGATAAGCTATTTAGGTTCACGAACAACTACTGGTTGGAGAGAGGTTCATGCTTTACCATCACATTTTGAATTGATTACACTGATATTTACCATGACCTGATTACTTTATGTATAAACAAGCATAAATGAATTCTTTAATAATATTTGAATAAGGCATTTAGAAGACAAATTTCGCGAGATGATATCATTTCGTAGTTTCTTTACAACCGCTTTACAACTAATAATAATAATAATAATTTTTGCTTTATTCCAAAAACAGTATTAATGATGCAGCAAGGAATTTTCAGCATTCAGTACAATATTGCATCTAATTTACTCAAAACGACAAAAAATAAACACTACATAATAATAATAATAATAATAACGAAACGTTGTTATAGCAGCTGTGTAGCAATTACAGTATACGATAAGGAGAAAAATATGCATAAAGTATAAAATTGTAGTAATAAAAGTAATAACAACTAAAATAAAATAGCTAAGCTATAATTAAACGATAGAAAGGGTGACACCATAAAATTGCAGAAAGATGAACGACGAAAGGGTCGATTTACTTTGCTAATTATATAGTAACTTATATGTTTCACGTCTAACAGTATCTCCATCACACAATATCCGGGCTAAATAGCGTTGTGTAGAATTTTTATACTTAGTGGTGCGAGCATATAACTTTTTATATTGACTTCTTGTCCTACCTGATGAGATGCAAGGGGATAGTTGTGAATAAAGGAAGTGCAGGGGTTCTGACAGTGCGACCTTTTCCCATTTTGTACAGGATTTTATATGTCTCTCGACCATAATATTGGCGGGCTCACGCAGCAGCGTACCACAAGCCCTACTCACAGCATTTAATACCCTTCATAATATGATATAGTCTTTTTTAAGAAGCCCAGGAAAGATTAATGGAGAGCAATAGATTGCAATAGGTAAAATACAGGAGTTTACAAACTGCAGAAATAAAGGTTGGTTGATACCTGATTGTCTTAACTTTTTAATGTAGAAAATAAGACGAAACATTTTCTTAGAGATTGGTAAGATATGGGATGACCATGAAAGGTCAGAGGAAAGAACTAATCCAAGGTATTTAATGCTTGACTTGGTTTCAATTTCAGTGCCATCTATGCTACAGGCATCATGGAAACTAACTAGTTCATGTATGTCACGTCGATGCTTGAAAGTAAAGTTAACTGCCTGACATTTGGAAGGATTTAAGATAAGACAATTTGACTTAGACCACTTTCTGATGTCCAACAGAAAGCTATTAAGTTTGGAGCAATCAGACTCTGAAGTGAAAGGCAGTCATACAATCAAATAATCCGCATATTTGACAAAGTTAGTTTCGTTTAAATGAGGGAGGTCCTGTAGGAAGAAAGAAAAAAGAAAAGGAGAGAGGACGGCACCTTCAGGAACACCGGCTTTTGTAAGTGAGGCAGAAGACGATTTGCCATTATACACTGTATACTGCATTCTATCAGAAAAATAAGAATGCAACCAACTCTTAGCCCAGGATCCTGTGTGCGTCAACGAAAGCTTATTTAATAAAAGGTCCCTAGGTACAGAGTTAAAAGCAGATGTGTAGTCTAGGAACCTTTGTCTAAACAAGAAACAACATTATAATATAAGACAACCGCAGCATCCAAGGTACATCTACCATGTTTATATGCAAATTGTTTAGGATCATGAAAAGGTTTCAATGAAGGTTCAAGACGAAGTGAAAGTAATTTTTCCATCAATTTTAAAAAAGGAGAAGTAATTGCAATATGCCTAAATTTAATATCACCACCAGAAGATGGTTTTGTTATGGGGATAATTTTAATATTTTTTCATGCAAAAGGTAGAACATTACTTGAAAAGGAAGCATTAAGAAATATCATATATACTAGCATCATTAATGAATACTAGATCCAGTGTTTAACCAAGACGAGTAGCAAAGTTAACAATATTGTCATGACCAAGTGATATAAGGAAGGAGCAGTCACAGGAATTGAAGTCACCAGTCATTATTATTATTACTGTTTCCTTTAATTCCTAGAGGAACATAGGGCTTCAGCCGTGCGCCTCCATTGCGTTCGGCTCTCTGCTAGAGTCTTCACCTGGCTCCAAGTCTGCCCACACGCTTTCATCTCCTCTTCACATGACCTCCTCCAAGTCACCCTTGGACGACAAACCCGCCGCTTCCCTTTCGGGTTCCACTCAAGGGCTTGTCTGGCGTGTGATTTCACTTGATGGTTTCCTCAGAGTATGGCCAATCCATCTCCATTCCTTCCTTCCTATTTGTTTCACAATCGGTTCCTGCTGAGTTGGTTCGCTCCCAGAGATCCCTGTTTCTGATCTTTTCTGGCCATCTTATCTTGAGTGTTTAGCGAAGACAACAGTTAATGAAAGTCTGTAGTTTGTTTGAGATGCTCTTTGTGACGCGCAGTGTAAGTCTCTGATCCGTATAGTAGCACAGACTTCACATTGGAGTTGAAAATCCGGATCTTATTTTTGATGCTGAGTGCTGTTGACCTCCACACAGACTTGAGAGTAATGAAAGATTGTCTTGCTTTTTCGATTCCTGCTTTGATATCCTCGTCAGTTCCTCCTGTAGTTGAAACGATGCTTCCCAGGTAGGTAAGGGAGGTTGTTTCTTTCAGGTCATCAATCATAAAAACAGCGTAATCAACATGTCAACCTCATTAAATTCATTTAAATAACTGCAGGAAACGGCATCGCTAGTGTTAACTTGTGACAAATATATTTTGTTTGGATTGTTACTTCCAACAAGGATTTGGAATAATTTCATTGTAGATTTGATCACGAATCAGTATCAGTTAGAGAACATCAAAAGCCAAGGAGTAATGGGCAGTTGTTTCATTCTAGCTTAGAAATCTTCCGTGGTACATACTCACGACTCCACTGGAGATCAGCGGGATGATAAACGAAGACATTGGTTGACAGTAATGCGATAAATATGAATTAACTAATGTAGAACTCACGGATCACTGAATTCCAGCCCAAGTGGTTGAGTGGTCAAAGACCTTATGGTCTCTTAACCTGAAATGTTACGAAAAGTTGAAATCGTGTACCAGTAAATTAGTGTACAATCAGTGCAAAAAATGATATTCTAAAGTGATTGAAATTTACTTTTTCTTGAAAAATTTCTTGTCACTAGAAGTTTGTCAATTTTAACAAAGTTTCGTTATTGTTGATATATTGAACAAATAATATTTACTAAGGATAATCTATTTAATGCTGTGCAATAAGCGTTGAATAATTTTCGACTTTTTATTTCATCAGTATTGGATGTATCAAGTTTTGAACGCCTGATGGGTCCGTGTGTAGAAATTATGCAACGTGAAATGGGACATTATCGCAGTCAACTAATCGAAAGTTTGGGACCTGATGAAATACGTAATATTCCTTCATTGGCTAAATTTGTAGAATCTCAGAAACATTAATCACAGATGACATTGCTATTTGATACTTTATTACTATTATTATTATTATTACAGTAGTAGTATCATCATCATCACTATTCTTTACCATCTTATACTGCTTAATTATAAGCAGGCTGTTGTCTTTTTTGATTTTTGACTGGAATTCAATCAGTCAGCATCTTAAGCAAATTGTTGTTTCAAATATCTTTTCTTTCTTTGCTTAACTTTAATTTGCTCACTTATATTCTAATGTGGGGATATCAGACAAAATAAAATTATTATAATTTAAAAAACGTAGAGCAATAATTGTTCTCATATTCTTCTTTCTTACTGCATTACGATTTTATATTGTTCTGAGTGGATATTTATTCTTTTTTTAAAAGAAACTTACGTAGTGAAAATCAATGAGGATATGCTTCAGTGTTCATGGTTGCCCGTCGTTGTATTCATACATCTTTATGTGTATATATATGTATACCTACTTCAGTACATGGAGTTGTATTTTTAACCATGATGGGGGTGGTGTCTCACTGAGACAATTTCTTTCATAAATACATAAGAATCATAAGCAAAATGAAATTACAGTTATTGTTTTGTTTATTCAGTTTGTCGAATATTTTTTTCTTGTCTTCACTTCACTAAGCATATACTACTTTATTATGTACTACTTAAATTCTTTGTGAAATCTTTTTAAAATTAAATTGATTTCTTTTTTTTTATGGGCCTATTTAACAGCTGAAACACAAAAAAAGAAGACGAGAATTAATGGTTATTACTGTTCTAAGTATATTCATTGCTGTAATTGTTGTTGTTGTTGTTTTGTACCTTTATTATTGTTAATATTGCTTATTATTTCTAGTGAAATTAGTGTATACTTTTGTGTATGTTTGCACTTTTAAATAACATTTTGATGTTCAATTGTTGGTGGAAAAGATAAAAAAATCTTCCACAATTATAAATTTATAAAGTTGAATAAACTTTTCAGTTATGTAATTGTATAAGTCTTTGTTTATTATTTTCTTTTTCTTTTTTTGTATGCCTAACTGAATCAGTAAAGTTTTTTGTTTTTCTTTGAAGAAGGTTTGCCGTCAACTGCTTCATATTTCCTTGTACTTCTTTGAGTAGATGAATGAAGACAATTAAATGTTGATAAAATGTTAGACTTTGCAAATTAAATAGTTTATAGCTGATTGTATTTTTCTGGTTATAAATTTGTTTTGAATAAGTCTATTTAGTTATAAATAAAGTCAGAGACTTGATACCTGAATGTTGTTTATGATTTATGTTTGCTTAACCGTTGGCTGAATTCATTGAAAGATCATTCTGTGTGATAGTTATGTGTATGTTTCTTACACATATCACAAACAACGAAAATATCACTTATATATTGAAACTTCGAAACTAATTAAACCTGTAAACAATCGGAAGTTGGTTGTATGCCTTTGTCAGAGGCTGATTTATGATTCGCTTTAAGACTACTGGTCCACCGAGGGAGAGGGCTGTCGAGTGGTTGCGCCACAGGACGATCCTGCATGCCGGTCTCATCTCGCAAGAGGCAGGGATGGGTGTTTGGTTCTCCTGAAAACCAGAACCCAGTCAATGGGTGTATCACTGAGTTGTGCGTCGGTGGCACAGTGGTCAGGACTCTCATCGACCATGCATATGGTTCGGGGTTCGATCCCCTGCCGACGCCACACCTAATATCTATGGTCGGCCTGCGAAATTGGGCTACCGACATCACATGCTGAAAATTTCATACCTGTACCAAAAAATACGGTGTGAAATCAAGCTGTAATCAAAATACATATGCATGCAGTTATGTAATTCGGAATGGCACCTCTCTCTCCCTCCATTATGTATATGTGAATATGGGTTTTTATAAGAATAAATAGCTGGTTATTCCACATTTATGACAAACATCATTTACTGAAAGTTTAAGATATACCAGTTCAGGGGTTTTTGAATTTCTGGGATTTAAACAGTAAAACCCGTCAATTCCAAATGATTGTTTAGTCACCATAGATTAGCTTAAACTATCTTCCGTCGCTTTAAGGGAACATACAGGATTCTTTATACATATCTCAAAAGAAAGTTAGGAATTTCGCCCCACGAGTACGTAAAAGGTGTTGATGTCTTTGACGGTAACTTAAAGCTAAATTTCATACGCATGTAGCAAAAATATCGTTTGTAACATCGGGTGACTACCGACGTGCATATTTTTGTTAATATGTTCTGGGATATCCGAAGGGGCTGTTTTATTTTATTTACGCAATATTTTTTTCATCACATTTCATCTCAATCAATGCAGCTTCACAATCTCATTAACTGAGTTTCTCTGCTTACCCAAAACTTCGTCTAACGATAATATAAATTAATATATTGAAACACATTATATGCTGTTCACAGTTTTGTGAATACTGAAAGACCATAAAAGAATAACTGCAAACTAGTAGATAAAAACTGCCTGTCACTCTGTTTTCACCAACTGAACGCTAGTACTTATAACGTCATCTTCAAAACATCCTACCCATGGTTCTAAGAAATGAAACAAAAGTAATGTCGAATAAGCGTAATACAGTTACGTAATAAGATGAATAGTCTAGCGAGTGAGTTGTGATTAGGATAAACATAGAAACCCAGGAAAATATGGAATTATGTAAGAGTTCTGAAAATTAGTTAGAAAACAACAAGCACAGAAAAATCAAGTCAATGGAAGTTAACATGGTTGTTACCAGGATGGTAGAAGCGGTTGGATGATTTTCTTTTGTGTACAAAACTCTGGCTACATAAGAAGTGCGACAGTCTCGTCAACACTGGTCATTTCATCTCAAAAAGTGCCTCCCTCAAAGTGATCTACAAACTGAATAACAACCTAATAAAGGCAATACGCTTTCGTCTCCTTTGTATTGCTGAAGCCTTAGCCGTTCAGTTGGAGAGACCAGAGTTATACATTTGTAAAAAATTATATTTGTAAAATCTCAGCGAGATTGAAATGAGTAATTCCAACGTTTCGTTCGGCAATCTGGTCCGAACTTCTTCAGGGAAATTAATCGAAACAGAGGTTTATATATAAAAGGAACATCACTTGTTTTTAAAAAACTTTGTCCAATCATGAGTCATTCAACAAGTATAATAAACAAATTTTATGAGCTGTGATCAAAATTTGACCTCGGACTTATAAATATTAGCAGTTGTAAAACATTTCTTAACGTCTCCATAAGAAGATATGGACAGTCGAGAATTTTGACCAAGTATTAATAATTAGTGATATATATCCATTTTTCATTTATTAATAAGGATTTCTTATGCTGTTATGTTAATTTCGATTAATTTCCCTGAAGAAGTTCGGACCAGATTGCCGAACGAAACGTTGGAATTACTCATTTCAATAACGCTGAGATTTTACAAATATAATTTTTTACAAATGTCTACTTCTCATTCGGCGCCCAAATATTTTAGAACTATTCTTTCAAATCTTGACGAAAGTTCATTTGAAACCAGAGTTATGTATACAAAAGAAAATCATTCAACCACTTCTACTCTCACGGTAAATACCGTGTTGACTTCCACTGACTTGATGTTTGTGTGCTCGTTTTTTCTAACTCCTTATAACATTCGTAACTTTCAGAACACAATTTCATATTTTCCTTTGCTTCTATGCGCATCCTAGTCACAACTCACTCACTAGACAGTTCATATTATTACGTAACTTTATTACGCTTATTTAACTTCTTTTGTATGTTGACTAATATTAGTAAATATGTTTTTCGACAATGCATCACAACTACCCTCTTATCAGTCTTCACCCATCCTAGTTACAATTTGATTATTCATCCCTTTTTTGAAATGTATTGATACCAACAGCTTTAACTAATTTTTTTTATTCCTATCGGACAAACGCAATGTGTACATATATACAAAAATAAGCATACATAATTGCGATTGTACAGCTAAGTGAATGAATTTGCCAAAAATAGACTCTTCGCTGAACTATATGTGCAGAGAATTCTGTCCCATATGTGGATGTATTTCTCAGAATAAAGCCTTAATATTACTTTAAGATATATATGTCTGATTTCCCACAAACTGGAATATATGCAAGCGAGAAGCAACAAGTTGGCAGAAGAAGCATCGAAGATGGGCGGGACTTCAGATGAACATAGAGGAAACAGAGGTGATGAAGATTCCTGGACAACACCACCAACAGCAACAGCAACAACAACAGACAGCAATCAGCATAAATGGGAGGAACCTGAAAGAAACAACCTCCTTTACCTACCTGGGAAACATCGTTTCAACTACAGGCGGACGGAACTGACGAGGATATCAAAGCAGGAATCGAAAAAGCAAGACAAGCTTTCACTACTCTCAAGTCTGTGTGGAGGTCAACAGCACTCAGCATCAAAAATAAGATCCGGATTTTCAACTCCAATGTGAAGTCTGTGCTACTATGCGGATCAGAGACTTGGCGTGTCATAAAGAGCATCTCAAACAAACTACAGTCCCTCATTAACAGATGTCTTCGCTCAATACTCAAGATCAGATGGCCAGAAAAGATAAGCAGCAGAGATCTCTGGGAGCGAACCAACCAGGAACCGATTGTGAAACAAATGGGCAGGAAGAAATGGAGGTGGATTGGCCATACTCTGACAAGCCATTGCTCGAGTGGAACCCGAAAGGAAAGCGGCGAGTTGGTCGTCAGTGCAAGGGTGACTTGGAGGAGGTCGTGTGAAGAGGAGACGAAAACGTGTGGGCAGACTTGGAGTCAGGTGAAGACTCTAGCAGAGAACCGAACGCAATGGAGGCGCACGGTTGAAGCCCTATGTTCCTCTAGGAATTAAAAGGAACAATAATAATTACTTAAAGAAATTAAAATGAATTAAATGTTATTTTTATGTCATTAGTTTAACTGTGAATTATTATCACGTAGATGGTTTTCCGTGTTCTGATCGTTGTCCGCCTTATTTCACAGACATTTTCGTGGAAAATGTGCTGTTGGCATAAACCTTCTTTCAATAGAAAACGTTTCAGGTGGACTTATTTTTTTAAGGAATGATTTTAGTAATCTAGACTTTCGGTGACTGGAGTGATTTCAAAATATGTTCCGTCATAGACTGTTGTCAAGCACTTTTAGCTTTTGATAGTTCTCTGACTGATATACCTTCGTGGAGAAGTATCTATATTGAATGATATTAGCCTTTTATCGCTGTATGTATTCACGATTCCCATTTTAGTTTATCACATACGCTTTAGTTCTTTTTGTTACAGTAATATAAATTTATGTTTTATGCTATCATTTATTTATATAAGGACAATTTATATAAATCATTTTTTTTATTTGACCTCATTTGATTTTTCAAGACAGCAATCACATATCATGAGTAAGAGATCGCCTAGTGACCTTGATATCTGTAAATTAAAACATGACAGATTTAAATAAAACTAAAGAGGATTTTATTTTATATAAGATACTGTAGGTAGTAATTAATATTCATAAGATACTCTCATGATAATGCTAGCAGAATTTTTCACAAAGGTTATTTGAAATTTCTGCTACTGACATCAGATAATACCAATTCTATTCAGTGTATTGTAATTTCTTATCAAAAGTGGATATGTTGAAAAAGCACAACTTTAAGATGGATGAGAAGAAAGCTCTAACAACTGGAGGTTTGATGCACAATATATTATCAATGTAGATTGTCATATCACATCAGCTATTATCAAATTAAAGATTAGAAAAAATTAAAAATTAAAATATTGTCCTAAACAGTTGTGTGATAAGAGATTGTAACTAAAAATGGTAAATGAGGGCGACATTTGACAACAACAACTGCCGATATTAATCACCTTGAGGAACGTTAAAAAGATCTAGGTCCCTCTCGTTTACAGTACTAGCTCGGAATTCTTCAATGTTACTCCTGGCGCCCCACTGCCCTATGGATGATCGAGCCCAGGGCCATCAGGTTACCATACCAACCTGCTGATCCATCAGTCTGTGGAGTGTCATCGAATATATATCAATACGGAATTAGTATTTCCTTGTAATATCTAATGCTTCCACACAGCTGGGTTATATTTAGCGTTTGACTTCATGTTCAGCTGATCCAAGTTTGACATCCAAGTTCAGACTAGACATGCAGTAATTTTAAGTTCAGGGATTTGAAGGGCCACTCCAAATCTCTTTTTCGTCATTACAGCGAAATATCTGCTTCTTTCTTGAAAATTTGGTAGTCGGCAATTGAAACTGACCATAACATTACTGGT